AGAGCGTCTGTAGAACGGTTACTGTCCAAAGGACTCGGCTTGTTGGTCACCTGTTGATTGTAACCCAAATGTACCTGCAAGTCTTCGTTTTTTGGCGACTGGGTGGTCAAGTGGGAGCGATTCAACCTGCCGTTCCTGCCTTGAGATACCGGAGATGGAGTTACAGGAGTGGGAGCGGCTGAAGAAGACAACGAGGAGCAGGATGCTGCAGAGAACGAGCTAACAGACGCAGCCACGGCATTGACCGACACCATATCGCTTTCCAAATCCCCTTCAGCAACCGGGTCTCCAGAGCTGGAGTTCTGCAGGTCAGGAAAGGTGGCATGGCAAGCGTTCACCAACTCCCTCACGCCAAGCCTTTCCGCCAACTCATACAGCACACCCACATCGATCAAGTCCGTGAAAATCTCACCCGTGTAGATAAAAGTCAAGACCTTCTCGAAATTGGCAGCAGAAACGAAGTCCAGAGAGAAGGTGGTGGGAACGGCACCCTGGTTGCTGGAACCTCTGGAGAAGAGGCTGCTAAAGTGCGTGCAAGAGCACGCCAACACCACGCGATGAGCCGGGAAGGAACGGCCTCCGACCTGGAGGACGATGTCGCACAGGACGCGAGACAGGCGGCAGCGGTTGAGCTCAGAGAGGAGACGGGCCGCGTGGCCAGAGCCCTGCAGCCTGATCCGCATGCCTGGCAATTCCAACAAAAGCCAGGATTTGGACTGAAACACAGAAGTGAATGGAAAAATGGATGAGATTCAGATAAATTATAATAGCAAGGTGCATATTCTGTACTTATATAAAGTTATATTAAATATAACTATACAACCTCACTGTTTGAAGTCACTATGAAACGGCATTTAGTAATGTGACAAATCTGCACGTGACTTTTAACCATCAGGAAATGATTAGATCATGAAAAGTGGTCTTTATGGCTATAGCTGGAATATCATGTTAGCATACTACTCTAAATTCTGCTGCAGTATATACAGTGTGTATCATAGTACACTGTGCACACAATATTACATTTTCTGTATGCATGGAATAATACATATGTTAAAAGCACACTACCAGTGTTGTTATTGTTAACTAAAACTATATATATATATATATATGATATATGTAATTGAAATAAAGCTTAAATAAATAAAATATATTACATGAAATACTTAAATGCAAAGTAAATAAAAAAATATTGCCTTGGCAACTAACTGAAATAAGTTATTAAAATTAATTATTAAAATTACTAACACTAAATAAAATAAATATAAAAATATGAAAAACTAATAAAAATGACAAAACTTAACTCAAATTTAAAATCATTTCCAAGATGATTAGTGGACACCACTGGCTAAACTAATCATTCCTGGTGTTGCGCAACAGGTCATGTGACAAATAGGTAATACACAATATTGTTGTCACATGACCTCATCACTTTGCATGATTAATGTTTGAAAGGTTTAGCATGGAATACTGCATACTGTCTGGAATAATGCAAACAGTATGTACTGCACAGAATTCAGAAGGGAGTAGAGTAGTATTGTATTTTGAACAACCGATATGACAAGCACTTGAAAAACAAGAGTGCTGGTGACCTCAGCCATATTATATAGTCGTTTTAGAGTCAGGGCAAGTCATTACATTTTGATGAAAGATTATGAAGACAAACATTATTTGGAATAAAGTGTAAACACAATATCCTGTACCTTCCTTAACGTCACAAAAAAAAACATATTTACAAAAACTGTAATGCATTTTTTCACTATAATACACGGCATTACACTGACTTTAACTTATGTTTGCATTTATCACCAGCTAGTTTCATCACAGCAAGGTCAGAACAGTCTCACGATTCACACGTAAATTATACGTGAACATAACGTTACATCTCTTCACAAAACAACGGGTGTCCTAACAAAGACAGTCCAGATCACACACAAATAATTCGGCTTTTTGGATCAACACAATATTTGCTACTCCTTTATAGACACTATATATTTAAGCATGTATAGCACACAACTAGTGTGCAATGAAACTGCTCGATGCATTCTAGTTTATTTAGTGCATCATTAGTTTAGCCGTAGCTAACCGGTTGCCATTGGATTCCATTAGCAAGTGAGGCTAACTAGCACTTTAGCGTCATCTCTCGCAGTGGAAATGAAACAGACCGATGAGCTACTAGCTATCACACAGACACCACATAACAACTCAAATGTTTCCTTACCCATGGAGTGCTGCTAGTTTGCGATAGATAAATAACTCACTCGGTTGCTGTTAGCCCAGGCTGTCGTCCCTGTATAGACACTGACGGCGTCTCAAAACCTAGTGAGATGCCTACCTAGAAAACTCAGCTGGTTCAGAACAAAAAATGCTGTCTAGGTTAAAGAGCTCGCTATGTTTTTAAAACACGGCCATTGTGTCATATAAGACTAAAACAAACTGAACACCGAGCACTTGAGAGGGAGCGCCTCCCATTGAAATTCATGTAATCCTATCATTACTCTGGAAAGCCTCCACATAACTCAGGAATGTTTGTCTATATATAATACTAGATTGTGTTAAACACAATGTTTTAATAATATGATGAAGGTAGATTTTAACCAATAACACTTAAGATAGCAATAATATAATATTAATAAAAATATTATTGGACATCCCCCCAAAAAATGCTTTAGTAGCCTACTTTAATACTTTTTTTCTTTTGACAAATTCTTTAAAGCTGTACAGTCATACTCTTTAGACTTTAGTCTGAACAGCGTTTGTGAACGAATTGCTGTTTATGATGTTTAAAAATTGTAATGTTTTTATTTTTAACATAAAAAAAAAAATCATCGTTAGTTCATTTTCATGTACTGGTTCATATGTTTCGTCCAGGCATCTCCATTTTGAATCGTGTGACTTTCCTGCGTGAACAACTATTATTACAGTAAAAAACAAAAAAAATTATATACATTTTATTAAAAAAAAAAAAAAGTTACATATTGGAACATATGAAAAAGTGGAACTATCCACTATTATCGAATCATGAATGCAAAAGTCAAGAAGTAGGCTATTTGTCAGTCTATATGAGCACATAATACATAATATATAACACACAATATTTAAACTAAATATTTTATTCCATCACTTGATATTTGTGTTGACACATACAGTATGATAACAAATTTTAACCAGGTGATTTATCTGAAATCAAACAGGCCTTCGATGATAGTGAAGTTTTGAGGCATTAAAATGTAGAAACATCTGCTTTTTGATTTAAAAAGATGGAGACTTATCAAGCAGTGCCAAAGAGAGGTTGAAAATCAGAGTTTATTGTCTATAGTTTATAGAAATGATGCACAATGACAAATACTATTTCTTCTGAATATAAACATGTTCTTACATTACCCTCAGTGATGATGTCTGTTTTAAAGGACAATGGTAATGACAGTCATAATGGTAAATACATTCCCTCAGATTGCTTTGGGAAACTCTCAAGCTACATTTTACCATGTAATGCATCTATATTACAGTATATTAATCAGCATATTATAAATAATATTGCTTTTTAGTTGGTAAAACAGTTTCCATTTTTTGAAAAAGGCATGTTGAAATTTTGTAGCTGTCATTCTAAGCCTGTTCAAATATGGACAATTAAGAGTTTCTTCTTTTCTCTTTACTTTTTCCCTTTTCTGAGGAATCCGCAAGGATAAATGTACAGTATATAAATACAGCGTTGTTGGCAATGTCCTCGGACAGAAATTCACAGACACACAGAACACACAACTCTGTATGAAGAATTAAAAATGACCCTGGAGAAAATGTTTATATGATCATGAATGTTCATGGGTTATGAGACCCTCCTCCTGGAATTGACACGTCCGATACTGGTGATGCTACTTTTGCGGGACAGAACAGGTGTCGGGGAGGTGGGTGACGTCTCATTGGGGCAGCCGTGTTGGAGAAGAATCTCAGCACACTCTTTGCTGCCGGCTTGGCGCGCCAACATCAGCGCGGTTCTACCTTGTGGATCCTTTGACTTCACATCACTGCCGTACTGTTGAACACATACAAAAAAAAAAATATATATCCATTAGAAATGAGCAAACAATGCAATACTGACGTCCAACAGTTAAAGGAATGATTCACCCAAAAGGAAAAATTCCTAAAATTAAAAGTTAAAAAATTCAAATATGAGTCCTCTATCCATAATATAGATTTTATAATCTAGTGAAAAAGTCATCTCAAAACTGATCAAGCACTGTTTAAGAGTGAAAACAGTCCAAAGACTTTTTCACTGGAGGAAACATTATTATGGATTCGTATTTAAGCCGGAATCAATGGTTTAAAGTTAAAAAGCCTTAATGATGGAGATGTTTCTTAAAAACACATAGATTTTCACTTCACAAGATATTAATTGATAAACTGGAGTTATTTGATTACTTGTATATTATTTTATCAGCTGTTTGGACTCTCATTCTGATGGCACCCATTCACTGCAGAGGATCCATTGGTGAGCTAGTGATGTATTTCTCCAAATATGATCCTATGAAGAAACAAACTCTTGGAAGGCCTGAGGGTGAGTACATTTTTGGGTGAACTATTCCTTTAACTCAAAGAAACCGGCTCAATAACTCACCCAGACCAGCAGCTGTGTCATGACCACGTCGCCCAGCTGGCAGGCCGCATGTAATGCGCTGTGATGCTGCTGCGCTGCTCCTTCAGGCGGGATGTTGATCACTTCCTTGGTGCTGTGCACGAGGAGCAGCAAAAGTCTGGGAAGGTCTCTGTTAATTACTGCTTTAAGCAACCAAGTCGACATTGTGTCCTCTGAACACTGAGCGGGCAACGGCGACACAAATGCCCGCTGTTCATATTTGGCACGGATCCACGACTCTCTCTGCTCTCTGAGACAAACACAAAGCAAAGGCCAAATTATTATCACAGTGGCTAACCGCATTAGTCATGATCTCTTTACATGTGTGTCACGAAGAAGACTGAAGCACTGCAACCTTGTTTATGTTTTTAGTTAATACTTCAAAAAAAAAAATTTCTTGAACAGTCTTGTTTTTTGTTTTTTTTTTTCTGAAAAAATATCTTAACAGATTTAAAAATAAATGTATACATTTAGAAGCAAATTAGTTTAAGACTTATATGTAAGTGAATATAATATATAATTGAATAGAAGTGTTTCGTCTTCCATTAGGAGATTTGTTCACTTGCTTTAAGTATAAAGCAAAACGTAATAATTTAATTTAATTTAATTTAGTGCAGTACAATATTGTTCAAAAGTTTTTTTTAAGTATTTTTTTAAAGAAATTAATACTTTTATTCAACAAGGACGCATTAAATTGATCAAAAGTGACAGTATAAAACTTAACAAAACTTTCCTGATGGGGGGAAAAAGTATCATGGTTTCCACAAAATATGAAGCAGCACAACTGTTTTCAACACTGATAATAATAATAAATGTTTCTTGAGCAGCAAATCAGCATATTAGAATGATTTCTGAAGAATCGTGTGACAATGAAGACTGGAGTAATGATGCTGAAAATTCAGCTTTACCATATCAGGATTAAATGACATTCTAAAATATATTACAATAGAAATTAGTTCTTTTAAATTGTACTAATATTTCACAGTATTACTGTTTTTACTGTATTTTTGATCAAATAAATGCAGCCTTGGTGAGCATAAGAGGCCTATTTCAAAAACATAATAAAAAACGTACCAACCCCAAGCTTTTGAACAGTACTGTATGTATTTATTTACTTTACTTTAACAGGCACTTCGTTGCTCACCTTGTTGCCTCAGGTGTCAACTTTTGGCGCCCTTGGGTGCAGGTTTCCCAAATGCTGTTGGCCATATGGTTGCCTATAGCCGCAAGCACTTTTGTGAGTTCACTGGGCCAGTCGTCCAGGTCTAGCGAGCGCACACGGGACAGGTGCGTCCCCAGGTTCCGGTGTATTCCCGAACACTCGATGCAGATTAAAGCCCCAAGATTAAGACTCGCCCATGTTGGATCTGACGGGAGACATAATGTTTTCATAAACTGAACGATGACAGAGATCTCAACATATAGTAGGCCCTACTCTTTGTTGTTTAGATTTTCATCACAAGGCATTATTTCAGGACCGCACTTACTTGGTGCTCCACAGTCCACACAGAGGTCGTTCCCTTTGGCATTTCGAATGGCCTGCAGGGCAACAGCTTCACTTTGGCTGTTCCTTCGAGCCTTCGAGTTGAAAATTAAGTCTATTATTTTGCAATATTGCAGGGCAAACTGTTCAAATGTATAGTATAGTAACATGATTTATGCATGTAGGATGAATCAGCATCCTTTTTTGGTCTGGAAATAAGCAAATTAACCCATTATTGGCCTTTTATTTTAGCAATAGAAAAAGGTTAAAGGAATAGTTCACCCAAAAAATGAAAATATGCTGAAAATGTACTCCAGCTTAGGCAATCCAAGATGTAGATGAGTTTGTTTCCTCTTTAGAACAGATTTGGAGAAATGTAGCATTACATCACTTGTTCACCAATGGATCCTCTGCAGTGAATGGGTGCCGTCAGAATGAGAGTCCAAACTGATAAAAACATCACAACACGACTCCAGTCCATCAATGAATGTATTTTGAAGCGAAAAGCTGTGTGTTTGTAAGAAGCTAAAATTTTTCTCAAGTGAAAAAGCCATCTTGTCTGAATCAGGAGAGAAATATGTACAGATCAAGGACTGTTTACAAGTGAAAACAAATTTGTCGGTGGATTTTGATGTGAGGGGACAACAGGACATGAACCTTTTTACTGGAGGAAGCATCAATACAGATGATGGGCTGGAGTTGAGAGGCTTACTTGTAAATTATTGTGATGTTTTTATCAGCTGTTTGGACTCTCATTCTGTGATGGAATGCTACATTTCTCCAAATCTGATGAAGAAACAAACTCATCTACATCTTGGATGACCTGAGGGTGAGGACATTTTCAGCAAATTTTCATTTTAGGGTGAACTAGTCCTTTAAAGATGTACTAGCCATTGAAAATTTAATGGACCTTTTTAATGGATATTGCACATAAGTGCAAAAGTGTTCTGGAAAGCTCATAAAGTTTGTGCTGTAAATATTTAAAAGATAGTTCTGATACCGTCAGGCTGATAGAGATCGGATTCATTTTTTTATTGCCCTCTTTACCTTATTTCTGCTTTCACAGCTCTGTAGACTTGCAAGGATCTGGCTTTCGATGGCCTGAACCCAGGCGTCCCTGTCCTCTTGACTTTGGGCTTCAAAATGCCAGCTCTGTCCTGTGCTCGATATGATGATGAAGTCTGCGCTCTCCTCTTCTGTTTGGGCGAGAGCAACAGTTATTTACACAAGATCAATAAAAACACCCATCGTGTCCTCAGTCTAATGTATCGTCTCAGTATAATTATGTGTTTGAGAGAGACAGGAACACAGACAGAAACACTCAGACCCATTTGCTGTAATC